TCTGTCTATTTCTCCATATCTCTCTATCAATATATCGCCTTATCCATCTATCGCTTCATCCCTCTTTATCCCTCTATACCTCCATCTCGCCATCAAGCTTTCTCTCTATCCCTCTATTTCTCCATCCCTCTATCTCTCCATGCGCTCGTCCCCCCCCCCCCAAAATCCTTCAACTTGCCCATCAACTTGTGACTAAACAACTTCATCCCTCTTTATCCCTCTATACCTCCATCTCGCCATCAAGCTTTCTCTCTATCCCTCTATTTCTCCATCCCCCTATCTCTCCATGCGCCCGTCCCCCCCCCCCCAAAATCCTTCAACTTGCCCATCAACTTGTGACTAAACATATGCTGGAAAAAATTGCAGTCTATTTTTTACCAGATGATAAAACGCACTACCAGTTTCAAGGTGTTTAAACACAACACCAATTTAACAGCGTATTAACCGGTTAGCTCACCCACCTACCCAAAGGCGTCACTTGGGCCTCGTAACCCCTGCGGCTGCATGGGCGTTGGATAATTAATTTTTTTAATGATAAAATTATTTTTAACTTTCCACATGGAAGGGAGAAGGCGGAAAAATCTCGAAGTCGCAGGGGCCTTACAAAAAGTAACACGACGGCCCTGCTTGATACGCCCACGCACCCACCATTTCCTGCCTGTGACGTAAGGCTCACCCTTTCCCCCTAGCAGACATCTCAGACATCCAACCCGCGGCTTTTCAGTCCTGGTAGACCTAGTTCCCGCCACCGGGTGACCATTACCAGGCAATGAACGGCAATGAAAAGTTGAGAGGATTTACTTCCGGTGTCAGTGACGTGACCTGAATAGGCCCCGCCTTGAAAGCGCTGTATTTGATGGTAGTGTTGGTCGTGGGTGGCAGTGTCGGGTGTGATGGTGGTGATCCAAATATACCTTCAACTACTGTCAGTGTTGCAGATGCGGATAGATTTTTAACGTGATGTAACTGCCATGTTGATCAAGGGGATCATTAAATTGTACTGTTTTGCCCGTGAAGTGCAGGTTTTTTGGACAATTGTTCAGGTCAATCTTGAGTTGTAACAAGTTCAGATTAAAAGTACACACTTTAACATTAATACATTAAAGAAATATTGGGTACATCTGAAATACAGGTATAAATAAAACAAATAAAAATATGTAACTAATCCAAATAAGCGTCAAAAGAAATTATCATTTCAAAATGGACGAGTTCACCGTGCAGCCACAAATTACGGACTAGTTCTCCGTGTAGCCCCAAATGACGGACTAGTTCTCCGTGTAGCCCCAAATTACGGACTAGTTCTCCGTGTAGCCCCAAATTACGGACTAGTTCTCCGTGTAGCCCCAAATGACGGACTAGTTCTCCGTGTAGCCCCAAATGACGGACTAGTTCTCAGTGTAGCCCCAAATTACGGACTAGTTCTCCGTGTAGCCCCAAATGACGAACTAGTTCTCCGTGAAGCCCCAAATTACGGACTAGTTCTCCGTGTAGCCCCAAATTACGGACTAGTTCTCCGTGTAGCCCCAAATTACGGACTAGTTCTCCGTGCAGCTCCAAATGACGGACTAGTTCTCCATGTAGCCCCAAATTACGGACTAGTTCTCTGCTGTGCAGCCACATATTGTAGCTCACTTTTGGATACCCATGGTTTCCAAAAACGAATTTAAACCCCTGGGTTTTTAATTGTAAAATGTGAATTCCTACATTTTGATTAGAACGCCATTGTCTCATGTAAAAACAGTTGTCCATATGATTGGATTGTTGTAGACGGGACCATATTTTGATATAATGTCACGAGCTCAGCCCTGGGGGGTTTTTTGTTGAATAAAAAAACACATATAATTATTACAATTTTCCGTGGCTAGTGATGCGGCAATGTCCAGATCTGCACAAAATCTTTAAGAACCCCTGAACCAACAAATACTACATATTTACATATTTTCTGGCCAGTGTATATAACGTTGTCATTACTGTAGTCCGTATTACAGTCCTATTGGAATCCTGATAAAACATTGGGTTTTCATGGATTCAATCGTCTTTTTTTTTTTATTGTTCTTTGCAGTAACTCCCCCCATCGACTTTCCGGGATGTCTTTTTGTGCGTGCCGGGAAACAGACATCAGTTGACCTCGCGGTTTGCCTTGTTCCAGTTTTTACCCGCTTCGGGTTTTTTTTTTTCTCACCGTATTTCTTTACAGATTCCCTGTGGTGTTTGGTGTTGTCGCTCTTGCATTAAGCTCTGGGTGTCGTTCTCATTAAGCTCTGGGTGTCGCTCTTGCATTAAGCTCTGGGTGTCGTTCTCTTTCCTCTTTTATTCACATCTGTTTGAGTAAGTTAAGAACGGTTGTTTGGATCTTGAGTAGGTAAAGACACCGGTTACCAGAAATAACATGATGATGAAAATCAACAGGGGCTTATGTCATCTTCGGATTCATCAAGTGCAGATCGCCGAGCAACACTATTTGCAGGGCTGTTAGTATCAAGTGAAGTACAGGTATGGGGTCGGTCAACAATATGTGAATGTTGGGGGGGGGTGGGGTCTGAACATTTGTAAAACACGCATTCAAGTAACGCCCCTTAAAAGTATACTAAATATAACATCCCCACACCAAATGGTGGGGGGGGGGGACACATGTAGAGTCAGAAGTACATCATGGGACTAGAAAACTTAATGCCTTAATATGGACCTTCCCTGTACAGTCTCTTCTGGCATCATAATCACGACACACTACCAGATTGTAGGGCTGTATTTCAGGTGCAGCCTGGATGTCACTGTGGGTGGCGTATGTGGTCCGGAGGGACTTATGACCCTGTATTTAGCCATTGTTCCGTAGATGTTAGCAAAAAAAAAAAAAACTGCCACCATTGTGTAGTGTTTAAACCGTGGCCAGTTGCTCCACGTGTGCTGTACGACATTGCAACGCGCCTGAGACGCAAGCGAGTCCGTTCCGTACATGAGGAAAGCAGGGAGAGAAAAAAAAATAGGACATATCTCCCTTGACATAGACATCATAGTGAGGTACCGTGATACCGTCAACAGCAATGAGCTCTGTCTATATCAGGGGTCTCAAAATCGCGGCCCGCAGGGTATTAGCGGCCCGCCAGACGACATTTTGCGGCCCGCCACATGACAGCAATGTTTAATGTAATGCGGCCCGCGAGTTTTCCCCATTCTCATATCTATAATGTGACCCTCCGCGACGGTTTCAGACTAATCTCATCGACTAGTCTAATTCTCATTGTTATTCTAACTGTATCAATGTGGACGTTGATGGTCATGTCATGGTAACAACCGTTTCAAAACCGGACTGAAAGTGTTTATTTTTGTAGCATTTTATGAGACAACACATGGCGGCCAAAGTGTAGTTTTGAGAAAAGTTTAACATGTCAGTTAGAGGGTAATGCACAACCATAATTGTGTAAATCGTAGCAATCTGACACAGTATCAAATAATCCCTATTAAAATTGCCCCCCCCCCAAGTCAGCTTGGTTCCATTTCAAAATAGGGTTAATCAAAAAGTCCTTTTCTACAATAAAAAAAATCAAAATTCATTCTCCCTACAATAGCATCTTCCTTCACATCAATAATTCATAAATATTTCCTACTCCTGCCTACTGTTTAAACATATTTTAGCATTTTAAGCCTTTGTGAAAAAGGATGAGGTGTTTTTTCCTGTACTGTGATCCCAAATGGCTCATGGGCTTGGCTTTTCTTGTTGACATTGCATAGGAGCTGAATGTACTTAACAAGAAGTTACAAGTCTTGTCAATGTTGCCTATGACAATGTCAGGCATTCGGCACAAAACGTGTGTTATAGTTCTTAGAGAAACCTCTGCCATTTCCCAACATGAAATGTACTCATGGATTCGGCAACACCATACAGTAGTGAGTTTATTGATGGTATTGCAAAGCTGCAGGGAGAATCTGATCACCAAGACTTTAAAACACAAAGAGCCACTTTTCAAACTTCTGCTGATCATTTATAGTGGAAGGTGCGCCCCACCTCCCAACCCCAACTTGCGCTTCAAATGGAGCTGATTGATCTTCAGTACCATTCAGGGAGTGAATGGAGAAACAGACAAGCATGGACAATTTATGAGAGCATTGCCCTCCACCTTCACAGAGGTTTACAGGTTGCTCAAGCGGATCAAGTGGCTTTTTGGGAGTACCTATCTGTGTGAAAAGCTCTTTTCCCACTATGAAATATAACAAGTCCAAATTCAGGGCCAAACTTATTGATGAGCATCATCAAGCTATACTGAGGGTCTTGGTTGCTTCCTCGCTCAAGCCAAATGTGGCGTAAGACGAAGAGCTGCCAGGTCTCAGGCAACAAGGAGTAGGAGGAAGTGAAGCCTAGTTCTTGAGAATCCTTAATGTTTGTATTTGTTTTTAATAACGTTTGGGCATGTAGTAACAGTTGTACTTTATTACATTTGTAATCGCTTTTTGTGTGGAATACTTGATGCGGCCCAATCTCACTTAGATTCTACCTCCTGCGGCCCCCGGATGATTTTAGTTTGAGACCCCTAGTCTGTATTGTACTGTTAGTGATAACAACTATAACGTTCTGGCGAAAGAAAGCGGCCAGTGTGATTTGACATACACAGACACACATATAGTGTATTTATATATATATATATACATATATATATATATATATATATATATATATTTATATATAAATATATCTATCTATATACATACAAATATATATTAATATATATATACATATTCACAATTTAACACACACACACATATAGTGTATATATATATATATATATATATATATATATATATATATATATATATATATATTTATATATAAATATATCTATCTATATACATACAAATATATATTAATATATATATACATATTCACAATTTCTATTACCAGGAGTTTCCTGTAGCCTCTAAATGAAAATAAACAAGTCATGACGTCATAAATTTCGACTCCTCGGTGCAAAGGTCACAATGACGTTATTTACTTTGGAGCATCGCCGGCAAACAGCCGGGTCCGGCTTGGGCGTCAAGGACATGCAGGCGTTTATCAACGGCAGCGCCCCCATGCTGCCGACGTCGGCTTCCATAAGTACAGCTAACGCCTCTGACGTAGGTGACCCCACCCAGGACACGGCATTGGACGCACTCTTGACCATCGACTACGATGTGGTGGGGAATTTGAGTGGAGAAGCCTGGATGAAGTATTCGTGTGCATCATTTGAGGTAGGTAGGGCTCTGGTAGAGTCAGTGAGGTAGGTCTTAGATAGAGTCAGTGAGGTAGGTTCCTGGTAGAGTCAGTAAGGTCACTGACATATTCAGTGAGGTAGGTCACTGACAGACTAAGTGAGGTAGGTATGTTTCTTTTAGAGTCAGTGAGGTAGCTATGCGTATGATAGGGTCAGTGAGGTAGGTCTCTGTTAAAGTCAATGAGGTAGGTAACTGTTAGAGTCAGTGGGGTGGTAATATCTCTGTTATAGTCAATGAGGTAGGTAACTGTTGGAGTCAGTGGGGTGGTATTATCTCTGTTAGAGTCATTGAGATAGACTGTGAGAATCAATCTTTTAGAGTCGGTGAGGTAGATCTGTTAAAGTCAGTGATGTGGGCAGCTTTTTGTCAGAGTCATGAGGTAGGTCACTTTTAGAGTAAGTGAGGTAGGTTTCTGTCGGAGTCAGTTAGGTAGGTCTCTGTTCAAGTCAGTGAAGTAGGTAGCTCACCTGTCAAATTTAATGAGCTATAGTTTTGTTATATTCAGTGCGTAAGGACGTTTTTATGCTAGCATGAGTAAGATAGATCGATTTACAATTAGTGAGGTATTTAGCATTGTGTTCCAGCTAGTAACCAAATGTGGCCCGGTTATTAGATTTAGTTTAGAATAACCAAATGTGGGCCGGCTATTACAGCTAGTCTAAAATAACCAAATGGGGGCCGGCTATTACAGCTATTGTAATGCAATTTAGGTTTTAAAATTAAAACTACATTGAAAAACTTGCTCCTTTTGGTTTCAGAGACCAAGTGGCTTTCTAAAGAATATTCTAGAACCTATCATCTGCGGCTGTGGCATAGTGGGTATAATCCTGACGATGGTTGTCCTGAGTAGGAAGACCATGTGTACGTCCACCAACTGTTACCTCAGTGCCTTGGCCGTAGCTGACCTCCTGTTCCTACTGCTCTTGTCATCTAAGATACTGGTGGATCAACTGGCGGACTGCAGCTTTCTGAAGGACAGCGAGGGGGCAATGTTTGAAGTATACTCAAGTAAGTGAGAGGGGGCGATGATTGAAGTATATTCATGTAAGTTGTGGGGCAATGTTGCACTGCACCCTGATTTATCTGGCACTGACCATGACCCACGATTATTTCAGGTTTTTCAAGGGGGGGGGGGGGGGGGTCAAAAACCAAAACTGGGTCGGCTTGTTAAGTTGTTTATTAATAGAGGCGCTACAGTACATAGTAATTAAAAAATAAAACCTTCAAAGTCAAGGGGCGCAAATAACACTTCAAGTAACGCCCACAGCTAGCCATTGTAGCCTTATTTAACACTTCAAGTAACGCCCGCAGCTAGCCAATGTAGCCTTATTTAACACTTCAAGTAACGCCCGCAGCTAGCCATTGTAGCCTTATTTAACACTTCAAGTAACGCCCGCAGCTAGCCATTGTAGCCTTATTTAACACTTCAAGTAACGCCGCAGCTAGCCATTGTAGCCTTATTTAACACTTCAAGTAACGCCCGCAGCTAGCCAATGTAGCCTTATTTAACACTTCATGTAACGCCCGCAGCTAGCCAATGTAGCCTTATTTAACACTTCAAGTAACGCCCGCAGCTAGCCATTGTAGCCTTATTTAACACTTCAAGTAACGCCCGCAGCTAGCCAATGTAGCCTTATTTAACACTTCAAGTAACGCCCGCAGCTAGCCAATGTAGCCTTATTTAACACAACTTGTGTCTTCTGTCCGCTCGCCAGTTATATTCATGGACATCTTCCAGTACTTGACCGTGGTGGTCACCGTCATGTTGGGCGTGGAGCGCTACATCGCCATCTGCCACCCCATGAGGGCGATGACCATTTGTACGGTGAGTGACCATAAGGCCTTAACGTCTTTGATACTTCTTTGAACGTCTTTGCTACTTGAACTTAAATAAGGCAACTTATAAATAATTTAAAAACATTTTTTTTCATCAATCTGATTTTAAATTCAAAACTATAAAGACATTCAGTGACTTTGAAAATTGAGAACTTGAGAACTACTTTTTAAAAAATACACGACTGATCAACATTGATGATTCAGGGGCGGCACTTATTGTAATGTTTGTTTTTGCCTATGACCCTTCCAACTTCCTTAGGCCGGGGCTGCACGTATCGAGGCCACACAGCAAGCAGTTGGTGTGACTATAAATACATCACAGCAAGCAGTTGGTGTGACTATAAATACATCACAGCAAGCAGTTGGTGTGACTATAAATACATAACGCAGGAGGACCACATTTCACCACTCGCCGCTTATTTAATCTTGATTCCGGTCTATTCTTGGTGACACTCACTTAAGCTGATATCGGGGCGCAGAGCTGACCAATTGACGGCAGGCTCCCGAGGTGCCGCGACTAATACAATCTAGGCTGTGCACTTGACAAAAGCCAGATGGACCAAATACAATTTCAAGCACTTCCCTCCCCAACAGCCCTCGGCGGGCCAAGTAGTGGCCTCTATCGGTGAAAGAGTTATTTTAGAGTCTTGATGACGAGTAGGGGCGCTAATCCAATAAGTACCCTAGTCTCTTGGGTACACTTTTTTTTTAGGTGGTGTATGGGACGGGGGTGGGGTGGGGGTGTCATTTTTCCAACAAAGGGTCGTAACAAAGCCTGACTTTAGGCACCTCTTCGCAAAAAAAAAAAAAAGATAAAATAAATATATATCAACATGGTTTGCAAGAAAATAAAGTTTTTTTTCTTACATGGAAGATGGCGCCAGGTTAAGGTGTCCACTTCAGGGTCCCTTCGCACGGCCAAGGTTCCTAAGTTAAAGTTCACCGCGTTGCCATTTAAAATAACTCAAGTAAAAAAAATGTATTAAAGCGAGTGGCTTTTATGAGTGGAACTATTAGCATTTATTAGTGAAGTATTAGCTTTTTATCAGTGAAACTATATATGCCCCTGCATCGATCTCCACATATTGAATCTGCCCCTGCGACGATCTCCACATATTAAATCTGCCCCTGTTTGGATCTCCTCATACTGAATCTGCCCCTGTTTGGATCTCCACATATTGAATCTGCCCCTGCATGGATCTCCACATATTAAATCTGCCCATGTTTGGATCTCCACATATTGAATCTGCCCCTGTTTGGATCTCCACATATTAAATCTGCCCCTGTTTGGATCTCCACATATTAAATCTGCCACTGCTTGGATCTCCACATATTGAATCTGCCCCTGTTTGGATCTCCCCATATTGAATATGCCCCTGCTTGGATCTCCCCATATTGAATCTGCCCCTTCTTGGATCTCTACATATTGAATCTGCCCCTGCTAGGATCTCCACATATTGAATATGCCCCTGTTTGGATCTCCCCATATTGAATCTGCCCCTGCTTGCATCTCCCCATATTGAATCTGCCCCTGCTTGGATCTCCCCATATTGAATCTACCCCTGCTTGGATCTCCACATATTGAATCTGCCCCATCTTGGATCTCTACATATTGAATCTGCCCCTGCTTGGATCTCCACACATTGAATCTGCCCCTGCTGGGATCTCCCAAAATTGAATCTGCCCCTGCTTGGATCTCCCCATATTGAACCTACCCCTGCTTGGATCTCCACATATTGAATCTGCCCCTGCTAGGATCTCCCCATATTGAATCTGCCCATGTTTGGATCTCCACATATTGAATCTGCCCTGCTTGGATCTCCCCATATTGAATCAGCCCCAGCTTGGATCTCCCCATATTGAATCTTCAACTAAATTTATATACAATGTCATTGTCATGTAACGTAATGTCATTATACACTTGGTATATAAATCAATTGAAGTTTCAATAATGACATTACCCAATGCTATGTTGATTTAATGGATTGGATTTTGTTTTTCCTATTTCCATTGTTTCTGTGATGTTTGTAGGAGCACGGAAGACAGGGATATCTATCACACCCAAATAAGAGAAATCCAGAATATCTATCACACCAAAATAAGGCACATCCAGAATATCTATCAAACCTAAATAACGGACATCCAGAATATCTATCACACCAAAATAAGGGACATACAGAATATCTATCACACCTAAATAACGGACATTCAGAATATCCATCACACCTAAATAACGGACATCCAGAATATCTATCACACCAAAATAAGGGACATACAGAATATCTATCACACCTAAATAACGGACATCCAGAATATCCATCACACCTAAATAACGGACATCCAGAATATCTATCACACCTAAATAACGGACATCCAGAATATCTATCACACCCAAATAACGGACATCCAGAATATCCATCACACCTAAATAACGGACATCCAGAATATCTATCACACCTAAATAAGGGACATCCAGAATATCTATCACACCCAAAAAACGGACATCCAGAATATCCAATACACCTAAATAAAGGACATTCTGAATATCTATCACACCTAAATAACGGAAATCCAGAATATCTATCACACCTAAACAACGGACATTCAGAATATCTATCACACCTAAATATCGGACATCCAAAATATCCATCACACCTAAATAACGGACATCTAGAATATCTATCACATCAAAATAAGGGACATCCAGAATATCTATCACACCAAAATAAAGGACATCCAGAATATCTATCACACATAAATAAGGGACATCCAGAATATCTATCACACCTAAATAACGGACATCCATAATATCTATCACATCAAAATAAGGGACATCCAGAATATCTATCACACCAAAATAAAGGACATCCAGAATATCTATCACACATAAATAAGGGACATCCAGAATATCTATCACACCTAAATAAAGGACATCCAGAATATCTATCACACCTAAATAAGGTACATCCAGAATATCCATCACACCTAAATAAAGGACATCCAGAATATCTATCACACCTAAATAACGGACATCCAGAATATCTATCACACCTAAATAACGGACATCCAGAATATCTATCACACCTAAATAAGGGACCACCAGAATGTCTATCACACCTAAATAAAGGACATCCAGAATATCTATCACACCTAAATAACGGACATCCAGAATATCTATCACACCTAAATAAAGGACATCCAGAATATCTATCACACCTAAATAAAGGACATCCAGAATATCTATCACACCTAAATAAAGGACATCCAGAATATCTATACCACCTAAATAAAGGACATACAGAATATCTATCACACCTAAATAAAGGACATCCAGAATATCTATCACACTTAAATAACGGACATCCAGAATATCTATTACACCAAAATAAGGGACATCCAGAATATCTATCACACCTAAATAACGGACATCCAGAATATCTATCACACCTAATTAAAGGACATCCAGAATATCTATCACACCTAAATAAAGGACATCCAGAATATCTATCACACCTAAATAAGGGACAACCAGAATATCTATCACACCTAAATAACTGACAACCAGAATATCTATCACACCTAAATAACGGACATCCAGAATATCTATCTCGCTTAAACCGCCATGCCCTTCCATAAAGTTCAAGTTTCCTTCGAGTTAAAACTATCCTAACGCATCAGTTCCTCCAAGGTAAACGAAGAGGAACTCCTAATCTTTCCTACCTGACACGCCCTTGACCTCTATCAAGTCCGTATACCTATTGTTCCACTCTCCAGGTCAAGCGAGCACGCGTCATCATCGTGGCCCTGACCATTTGTTCCTTCATCCTCATGTCCCCCAAGTTCCTGGACCTCAAAGTGGACTACACGCCCTTGGCAACAGGAGGGAACAAGCTCGTTGTGTCGTACATGTATCTGTATGACAACAGAGCTTACACTTACATAGTGACAGGTCAGTGTATGACAACAGAGCTTACACTTACATAGTGAAAAGTGAGTGTATGTCAACAGAGCTTACACTTACATAGTGACAGGTGAGTGTATGACAACAGAGCTTACACTTACATAGTGACAGGTGAGTATATGACAACAGAGCTTACACTTACATAGTGAAAAGTGAGTGTATGACACCAGGGCTTACACTTACATAGTGACAGGTGAGTGTATGACAACAGAGCTTACACTTACATAGTGACAGGTCAGTGTATGACAACAGAGCTTACACTTACATAGTGACAGGTGAGTGTATGACACCAGGGCTTACACTTACATAGTGACAGGTCAGTGTATGACAACAGAGCTTACACTTACATAGTGACAGGTCAGTGTACGAGAACAGAGCTTACACTTACATAATAACAGGTCAGTGTGTGACAACAGGGCTTACACTTACATAGTGACAGGTGAGTGTATGACAACAGGGCTTACACTTACAAAGTGACAGGTGAGTGTATGACAACAGAGCTTACACTTACATAGTGACAGGTAAGTGTATGACAACAGGCGTACACTTACATAGTGACAGGTCAGTGTTTGAAAACAGGGCTTACACTTACAAAATGACAGGTCAGTGCGGTTACACATAGTTGCCAGCCATCACAAGTAACATGTGAAAAAATTTTGATCTTAAATGGAATCCCATGATGAAATGGTTTCGTTTCGTCTTGTGGATAACAACACTAATTCAAAATACGTCCTTTAAGTTGTAAGACGTTCTAACATCAACACGTATTCAAAATCCATTCGTTAAGTTATAAGATGTTCTAACACCGGGGAAAATGTGTGTTTGACCAGGTCTCCTGCTGACCATGCTGCCGCTCATCACTCTGATGGCGCTCAACTTCCGGCTCATCCTGGAGATCCGCCGGTCGTCTCGCTACCTGCAGTACCACCTGGGCACGGACTGGCACGTGCGGTCTGTGGTGTCCAAGGAGGAGCTGAAGATCACCATGATGCTGGTCAGCGTCATCATCGCTTTCTTCGCCTGCCACGCCCCCTACATGGTGTACAGGTCAGTTCACATCCGGGGTATCTTTAAACTAATGTCACTAGAGGCACCCAAGTCACAAATATATTGCAAGACACAGACAAGCTACACATAGTGTACTGGGCATTTGCAAGTTACAGATGTGTTACTAGACATACACCTGTCACAAATATATTGATACACACACTCAAGTCAAAAATTGGTTGCTAGACAAATGCAAATCACAAATATGTTGATACACACATGCAAGGCAAAAATATGTTGCTATACATACGCAAGTCACGAATATGTTGTTAGACACATGCAAGTCACAAATATGTTTGCTAGACACATGCAAGTCACGAATATGTTGCTAGATACACGCAAGTCACGAATATGTTGTTAGACACATGCAAGTCACAAATATGTTGCTAGACACATGCAAGTCACAAATATGTTGTTAGACACATGCAAGTCACAAATATGTTGCTAGACACATGCAAGTCACGAATATGTTGCTAGATACACGCAAGTCACAAATACGAGTTATTACAAAAGTAGATTCCTGCCATTGAGTGTCAAGAAAGTACTCCCTTACTTGCTCTGTTTTTTCCCCTTCTAATGAACATTCTTAATACTCAAAGTGATTTGTGTGTTAGACAACGTAAAGAACACTCGAATCACTAAGGTTAAGCCCAACACAATGCATGACGCCTGTGTTTCACACTCACACGACCATCTTGTAGCAACCGTGACCCACTTATTCACTCTCGCTGTCCGCAGCTTCATCACCGCCATCCACGACTACGACACCGTCGATCACCCGTTCATGACCAACTCGCCGTCCTTCAAGTCCCTGAAGAACGTGTGCCACAGCCTGCTCGCCCTCAAGTCTTCCTGCAACTTCATTCTCTACTGCTGGTTCTCGGAGAAGTTCTGGACCACCTTCAAGAGGACGTTCTGCCTCCACCACTGCGTCCCCAAGCAGGTGGCCAACGTGCCCAACAGCTGCAACAACAACTACAGCCACAACCTCGCCCACCGGCCGTCGTACATCACCAAAGTGACCACTTGTTGAGGCATCACCGCCACCTGGGATTTCTTGTAGCATGGATAGAAATAGAAAGGCCCTCGTCTTAACCCTGGAACTGTGGTTCTAACATGAAGGTTGTACATGATTGGGTAATGGAGAATGACCAATGGCAGAATAGCAACAGATGACGTCATCATCTTTTGACAAGGTTCATGTCATGTGAGGTTGACATTTTCACTGATGGACTTTATGAGAAATATTTGTTTTAATGAACCCGGGGTGGGGGGGGGAGAACCTATGGCTCGCGAGCCAATGGTGGCTTTCGCCCCCGTTTTGAATGGCTCGCGCCCCCCCCCCTTAAAAAAAAAGAAACAAAATAATCATAAACATGGTAAAAAAAATGAAGGTGCAATTTAAATTGTCGATTTAAGGTGTCACTACTACATGGGGTTGGTACTACTACTTTGGGTTACCACTGCTTTATGGGGTTGTCGTTGCTATATGGGGTTGTCACTGCTATATGGGGTTGTCACTGCTATATGGGGTTGTCACTGCTATATGGGGTTGTCACTGCTATATGGGGTTGTCACTGCTATATGGGGTTGTCACTGCTATATGGGGTTGTCACTGCTATAAGGGGTTATCACTCCTATATGGGGTTGTTTCGCTTTTATGGTGACATCCCATTGTTCTGAGGATAGAAATGATTGGGATAAATCCCCCCTCCCCCGGGTCGCTTTCACCAATTATGGCTCCATGCCTCTGTGACCTCTTGAAAATGGCTCACAGCTATAAAAGTTGGCCCACCTCTGCATTGACGATAGTTATTTATAGTCAATCTGAAGCAAATTGATCTTTAACAAGTTGATCTGCAGCTAGTGGATCTTTAGAAAGTTGAACTGTAGCAAGTTGATCTCTAAGAAGTTGATCTGTAAAAGTTGATATGTACCAAGTTGATATGTAGCAAGTTGATCTGTAACAGGTTTGATCTTTAGCTAGTTGATCTTGTTTATCTAAAGCCAGTTGTTCTGATGGATTGATCTATAGTGGTTGCAATACTTGCAATGATATTTATGACGGATGTAGGTGTCTTTATCTCTTATGTCCTGTTCTGAGCTGTAGCAGTATTATAAATGCGTCTCTGGTCTACATTGTACGACCAGTCTATCGTGGTAAAGGGCACTAGCCGATGTGCCCGTCAGTCTCTGGTCCACATTGGACGACCAGTCTATCGTGGTAAAGGGCTCTAGCCGATGTTCCCATCAAATCACTTCATGTTTCCATATTAGCTCGGCCATAGAGCACAAGAGAAGTATGCCTTGACTTCCAGCTCGGAGTTGATTTATTTTTTATTATTTTGGCAGAAAAAAATTGTACACATTGTTCGAACACTTTAGAATGGCACGCTCTGCCAGTGTCTCTGACATGCTCAAGTAACGTCTATGTATAGAGTGTAATGTATAACCCTTGGAGAAACGCGACCTACTGTAAGAGTTACAGTCCTTGCCACTCACAGTAGGAGTTATAGCACTTGAGGGGAAAAAACAACAACTATGTCTTATGATAAACGTTTGGAAATGAAAGGATGGTGTGATAGTAAACATTTTAGTTACTGTCAGTTACAGTCCAAACAGTTTGTGATGAACGCTTTCATGTAACATCACATCAATGTCAATTATTATTCAAGTAAAATTGTTCAAAGTCAAATTATATTTGTCAATAAAGTAATAAGTACATTTTTTTGAAAACTGTGTAGCATTTTATTTGAACTGAATGAGATTAGTGAGTGATCAGTGAGTTATGAGTGACATGTGTCACGTGAGACAAGTTAGACAACCCCTATAAACAAAGTTTTCGTAGGAATCCTTTAATATGCATTTTTACAAGTATTTTTATTTTAAATAAATATTCTCATGTCCCACCCGCCTTTACACAGCAGATTTATTTCATCAACTATTTCAGGAAATCAGAAGAAAACATTACGCACCGACCCGCTTGCGATATTGTTGGGGGGGGGGGGTTTGGGTTGAAAATTTAAAAGAAGATGTTGTCATCTGCAATGAGTCTATGTGCCAAGTTTCAACTCGATTAGTCTTCCAAATATTTTTGCCAACTAGCCAGAAAGAAACACACGAACAAAAGTGAAGTTAATATAATGGATTTTTTTATAATACGATTTTTTTTTAACCCCTGGACTTATACAAGTCAACGCTTATTTTGCTCAACTGACTCAATGAAGTTCCAAAAAAAAAATAATGTATAATTTTAATAAATGAACGACCCATTTTTTGTAAGTGTGGGGTTATACATGTGTGCTGGTCAGTAGAAAAGTTACAAAGTTTTTTGTGAGTGTACAGCTGGCGGCCAAGTTTATGGTCAGTATATTGTTCGTAATATCTCAAGTCTAAATGGTCAGTAACGAAACACCAGGGGCAATGGTCAGCTAGGAAAAACAAACAAGGTTAATGGTCAGTTCACATAAATCCAAGGCTAATCATCAGTTCGTACGAAACCGTGGTTATTGGTCAGTCAAAAAAAGTACCTTGTGGAGGGTCGTTCACAGAAAACCAAGGCTAATGGTCAGTTCACAGAAGACCAAGGCTAATGGTCAGTTCACAGAAGACCAAGGCTAATGGTCAGTTCACAGAATACCAAGGCTTATAGTCAGTTCACAGAAGACCAAGGCTAATGGTCAGTTCACAGAATACCAAGGCTAATGGTCAGTTCACAGAAGACCAAGGCTAATGGTCAGTTCACAGAAGACCAAGGCTAATGGTCAGTTCACAGAAGACCAAGGCTAATGGTCAGTTCACAGAAGACCAAGGCTAATGGTCAGTTCACAGAAGACCAAGGCTAATGGTCAGTTCACAGAAGACCAAGGCTAATGGTCAGTTCACAGAAGTGGTTCCGATTACCAGTCAAGTGTCTTTACCAAGGCTAATGGTCAGTTCACAGAATACCAAGGCTAATGGTCAGTTCACAGAAGACCAAGGCTAATGGTCAGTTCACAGAAGACCAAGGCTAATGGTCAGTTCACAGAAGACCAAGGTTAATGTTCAGTTCACAGAATACCAAGGCTAATGGTCAGTTCACAGAATACCAAGGCTAATGGTCAGTTCACAGAATACCAAGGCTAATGGTCAGTTCACAGAATACCAAGGCTAATGGTCAGTTCACAGAAGACCAAGGCTAATGGTCAGTTCACAGAAGACCAAGGCTAATGGTCAGTTCACAGAATACCAAGGCTAATGGTCAGTTCACAGAAGACCAAGGCTAATGGTCAGTTCACAGAATACCAAGGCTAATGGTCAGTTCACAGAAGACCAAGGCTAATAGTCAGTTCACAGAAGACCAAGGCTAATAGCCAGTTCACAGAAGACCAAGGCTAATGGTCAGTTCACAGAAAACCAAGGCTAATAGTCAGTTCACAGAATACCAAGGCTAATGGTCAGTTCACAGAAGACCAAGGCTTATAGTCACTTCACAGAAGACCAAGGCTAATAGTCAGTTCACAGAAGACCAAGGCTAATGGTCAGTTCACAGAATACCAAGGCTAATGTTCTGTTCACAGTCATACCAAGGCTCAAGGTAAGATACAAAAATACCAAGGCTTATCGTCAGTTCACAGTGTGCCTAGAGTAATATTCAACTGACATTTGTCAGGACATGTCCATTCACACCTTCTACCTGAGCATTCCTCTTTTAACGAGATTAATAAGACACGAACAAATTGTGTCAATATAACAATATAATTTACGCTCTAATAATAATTATACATTATGGACTCTTTTAAAGAACAAAAAAAAAAAACAAAAAAAAAAAAAAAAAAAAAAAAAAAAAAAAAAAAAAAAAAAAAAAAAATTGTTCAAGGACAGGGAAAGCAACTACGATAACCTGTAAAATACAATCGTTTTTTTTTCTAGTAATCTCCCTTTGTATGAAAAACTTAAAAATTTGCCACAAAGTTCCAAGATGCAAACTTATGTGTTTAACAATCCTCAAAAATAGCAGGTTGAGGTTTGTTTCGTGATTTTTTTTTCATACTTTACCTTACCCGATGCTTTATATTTCCTGAAGCCATCATTAGTTTACGTATTTTTAGTGGCGTAACCCTGCTAATTGCCGCCCGGAGCGGGCCAAGAATATTGACGCTCGTCGTCCACGAATAAAAATTGCAGTCGGATGAAAATGACAATCACCACCTTAAAAAAAAAAAAAAAAAAAAAAAAAAATAAAGCATTCCGGGGCAGACCTCCCCCCCCCCCACACACACACAGCCTGTCCGCACAAATCTACTTTTTGTTTTGTGCTTACTTAAGTACATGTACTTAGTCTGTATTTTTTTAGTTCTCTCCAAAAGTTGGGCTTTCACAGGATTTGTTTGAAAGCCTCCTCGCTGTACATTGTTTCATAGGTGTCATTTCCGGCAGACGCCGTTTGCTTTGGTAAAATCTACTTTCATCGAAAGGTGTTTACGTATAGTTTTTTTTTTTTTCAAACATTCATCAACTCCATATGAGATTGTAGTGTAATACAATTGCTCATTGAAAAGATCTTTTGTCCTATCTTAAGTGCTGGGAAAGGGGTTTGTGTTCGAAGTCATTTGCATGTCTGACAATGTTACCATGTGGTACGTGCGTTAAGACTCTAAAATGTGTTGCGCGGGGAAGGGGGATAGTTTCTGATTATCAATCGACATGAAATTAGATTCTAATTATCGTGCTCCATAGAATCTTGTTTTGTTTGCCATGCTAACTTCTAAATTCTAACTTGTAAATTCTAACTTGTAAATTCTAACGTATAAATTATAACTTCAAAATTCTAACGTCTAAATTATAACGTCTAAATATTTACTTTCTAAATTCTAACTCCTAAATTCTAAAGTCTAAATTATAACTTCTAAATTCTAACTTTTAATCTCTAGCGGCTAGCTCGCGCCCTAGTTCCAATGTTAAGCTGATATTTTCCAGGGAATAAATCTTGACTTTTTTTAGAGCTGGGAACCCTGGGAGAAAACTTAGAGTTAACGAAACGCCGGAACAATCGCAAAAAAGACGTGGCAATCAAATGTTGATTGCAGCGCAACAATTTGTTATTAACCGGATCTACCCGG